AGTATTTTTTAAAAAAAAAAATCACCGAATCTTTCTCTTACCCCCTTTCTCCTTCTTTTTTCCGCTTCCTTTTCTTGGTGGATAGCAAGCTCTCCGCTTATTTCCTAATTAATTATCCATTTCTCCTCTTTTCCCCTCTTGCTATTTCTTTTATTTCTAGCTCGATTTTCATTCAAACCTCTTTTGTAAGATTGTTAGTTTTATTAATTTTTTTTTAATCTCTTTCATAATCTCCGCCTGAATCGGGGGGTTTTTTTGGGGGTTGGTTTTTTTTTTTTTTTTGGTGTGCTCTTTTAAGATCTGTAAGCACTTGAAGCACCAATTCTCCTGTAACTATGAACACCCTGTTAAGGTGCTGCTCAGTAATAAAGTACTTGAAAGAAAGAGTGCAGAATTCAATTACAAGTAATTTATTTTTATAGAAACAGTACATCAAGGCCTTGGAAAGATATTACAGAGCCCAAGTAAGAAGATCTGGGAAGATGACATAAGAGTTGATGTCCCCTTCAGCAAAAGTTTAATCTTTTCATTAATTTATATGGTGTGGTTAGATCAATCTTCCAGGAGAAAGCAGGCCGGCAGCATGCTGAGCCCCTGCGGTACCCCCCACAAGCCGCCCTTCCCAAAGCGGCTGCCCGGCACCTTCCCGCTCCCTGCTCCATTCACAGCGAGCGAGGCAGGAGCTGAGGGGAGGCAAGACCCTTAAAAAAAAAATAATAAAAAAAATACCAAAACCAAACAACCCCCCCCAAAAAAAACAAGAAAGAAACCACCCTAGCTTCTCTCTGTATTTCGGATACTGCCTGCGGGAGGCCGCTGTTGAAAGCAAGGGAGGCAAGGGCTCACCAGCCCGGCCCGGGGGGAGCAGGACTCTCTCCAGGGCGGCTTGGCTTTAAGGAGGGGGGATGAGGACACCCCTCTTCCCGCTCCAGCCCTGGGCTGCATTTCTGCCCTTCCTGCCGTGCCCGGGGCGGGGGGCAGGCGCCCCCTGTGCAGCTACACCCGCGCACACCTATAGAGGGGTATACATCTGCACGCGCATCTCCGGGGTGTGAAGGCCTTTTGCTGGGGCGGGGGAGGGCGGGGGGGCTGGCTCGGTGGCTTTTTCTTCTCGGGTTTTGGTTTGAGTCTGTTAGGCCAAGCACAGAGTTACAACCTAAGAAGGGATTTCCTGCAGGTTTCTCCTGCTCTGGGCCTGCTCAGGGAGCCACAGGTTGATCTTATTAATTATTTCTCGGGTTTTCTTTTTTGATGCGACATCTGTTCGGGGGATGCATTTCCCTGGTTGGCTTAAAGGCGGGGGGGGGGGGAGGGAGGAATATTTCTCCCCTGCATCAAACCGAAAATCGAATTTTAAAGTAATCGATGTGGAGCCACCCAAACAGACGGCTCTCATGGCCCCACAACTACAGCAACCCGGACCTATTTTCAAGGTTTCGAAGGCTAATTGGTATTTAGCCGTATCTGAAGCAGGATGGGAGGGACGGGGGGGGACTCCGCCAGATGGGGTGCCATGCATTCATACGCTTGCTGCGCGAATCGGAGGGGGCACCTTTCCCCCGGCTCTGTCTAATCCCGTCCCTCAGCACCCAAACCGTCTAGCCTTATTCACGGCGATTCTTTTCTGGGCTGTTTTTTCCCACAACGGCCCCGAAAAGTCTGGGAGGGGAGGGGAGGGGGGAGAAACTGAGGATTAAGGGAGAGCTAATAGCACGTTTGCAAGGCAAAAATACAATAATTTAAAAAAAAATAGCCAATTGCTCGGTTATTAGAGACTTGTCACCACCATCACCACTACCACCACCCCTCCCCCCCCAAAAAATTAAACTGCCTTCCTAGGAAATGCAAGGCACGGGCAGATATTCCCAGAGCAGAATTACTGTTTGGCAGGACAGGTACAGCGGAGTTGCAAACAGCTTCCCCATCACACGTGTCGCCTCTGCCTTCACCTCCCCACTTTGGATGAAACGGGGCACTGTGCTAGGATCCGCTGGCAGTTAGGAAGTGAGGTGAGGACGTTTCCAGCAACAGAGCCTTTCTCTTACCTGAACCCTAGCTTCAGACAGTCCCAGCCTCTGGCTTAGTTCCTCCCTCATGAAGGCATCCGGATAGTGTGTCTCATCAAAAAGTCTTTCCAGCTCATTCAGCTGCTCTAGTGTGAAATTGGTTCTGCTTCTCCTTTGTTTGAGCTTGGTCTGTCCATCTTCATCTTCCGACTTCACATCTTCCCTCTTCTCTTTGCACTCGTAGATCCCTGCCGGGAGGGGGAAGGGGAAAACGACACTGAGCTTCCCCTCGCACCTCTCCGAAGTTCCTCTCCGCAGCACACGGGGGTCACCCCCTCCCCTCTCTTCGTCCCCAAATTCAGCGTACCCTCCGGGGACAACCGGCGGGCGGGAGGGGGGTCCCCGGGCCGGCCGGAGGGGCGAGGGGTGCCGGGGGG